CTCTCCAAGGACCCGTCCCTCCTGGCAACTTGCCCAAAGTATGTCAGACAAAGCCCCAGAATCCTTGCCTCCAAGGAGTAGCTTGGTTTAACCCTCTCCAGGATGAATCTGTTTGTTTTCTTGGCAGTCCATGGTACATTCAATACTCTTCTCCAGCACCACAGCTCAAAGGCATCAATTCTCCTTTTGTCCTCCCTACCAGTCATTGTCCAACTCTCTGATGCATAACAAGTGATTGCAAAGTCCATGGCCTGTATCAAGTGCACCTTAGTCTCCAAAGAGACACAGTTGCTCTTGAGTATTTTGGAGAGGTCCCTAACAGCAGACTTTCCCATCGCAATACGTTTTTTTGATTTCCTGACTGCTGGTGCCATGAGTGTTGACTGTGGAGCCGAGCATACTGAAACTGTGAACAATCTCAATCTCTTCGCCATCCATCCTGATGCTACCAATTGGGCCAGTGGTGAGAATCTTTGTCTTCTTGACATTGAACCTCAGTCCATACTGAAGACTGCAGTCCTTGACCCTCTGCAGCAAGTGCATGAGGTCCTCCTCAGTTTCAGCAAGCAGTATTGTATCATCTGCATAATGGAGGCCTAAAATAAAGCCAACCAATATCCTGGCTTCTTTCACTCTTAACCCTGATGACCATTTAGTCTCAAGACTGTTGATCCCCCCTCTGTAGCCCCTATTGTTTCTCTCACCTAACCGTGGCAGCAGGGAGCTCTGGGGGCTTCGTGGGTAAAGAAGTTGCACTGTCAACCCAGAAACAGGTGGTTTGAATCCCGTCAGCTGCTCTACAGGAAAAAGATGGGCTATCTTCTCCCAGTGCAATGTACAGCCTCTGAAAACCCACTGGAAGGTCAGTTATGAGTCAGTTCCAACTCATTTGTGCATAACAGCAGCAGCCATGGCAGCAGCTTCCTTCACAGGGTTCCTGCCTCTAGCTTTGCCTCTTCCAGTTCATCTTCCACCACAGCCAGAGTTACCTGCCCTTCAATATATAGGTCTGCAGGGGCACTTGTTGCTGTTCTTGTTAAGTGCCATCAAGTCAAGAACGACTCACAGTGACCCTATGAACAACAAACCTGGACCCTGTCCTATCCTGCACCATCCTCGTCGTCTCTGACACACTGCAGCCCACTGCTGCAGTCAGCCCACTGCTGCACTGGGTCAGTCCATCTCATTTGGATATCTTCCTGTCTTTCACTGACCCTTCATCTTTCCAAGAATGATGTCCCTTTCCAAGGAATAGCCTCTCCTAATAACATGTCCAAAGTGTGAGAGACAGTGGTTCATCATCTTTGCCTCCAAGGAGCACTCTAGCTGCACTTACCTTAAGAGATATCTGTTATCAGTCCATGTGATACTCAGTACTATTCTCCAGTGCCACAACTTAAAAGCACCAATTCTTCTTCTGTCATCCTTACTCATTTTCCAGCTCTCAGATGTGTAGCTGGTGATTAATAAATACCACATCTTGAACCAGGTGCACCTTAGTCTTCAAATTGATATCACTACTGTGTGGATCATAAACTATGGCTGACTCTGAGAAGAATGGGAATTCCAGAACACTTGATCATGCTAATGAGAAACCTCTACTTGGACCAAGAGGCAGTCATCAGAACAGAGCAAGGAAACACTGCATGGTTCAAAATTGGGAAGGGCGTACACCAGGGATGTGTCCTGTCTCCATACCTTTTCAACCTGTATGCAGAACAGATTATCCGGGAGGCTGGGCTCTATGAGGAGAAATGCGGGCATCAGGATTGGTGGAAAATCTATCAACAATCTACGTTATGCGGATGACACAACCCTGCTTGCGAAACTGATGAGGACCTGAAATGCTTGCTGCAAAGGGTCAAGGACTGCAGCCAATATGGATTGAGATTCAATGTCAAGAAGACAAAGATTCTCACCACTGGACCAACTGGCAGCATCAGGATGGATGGTGAAGAGATTGAGATTGTTCACAGTTTTAGTCTGCTTGGCTCCACAATTAACACTCTCGGCACCAGCAGCCAAGAAATTAAAAGACATATTGCAATGGGAAAGTCTGCTGTTAGGGACCTCTCTAAAGTACTGAAGAGCAATGGTGTCTCTCTGGAGACTAAGGTGTGTCTGTTACAGGCCATGGTCTTTGCAGTCACTTGTTATGCATCAGAGAGTTGGACAATGACTAGGGAGGATAGAAGGAGATTTGATGCTTTTGAGCTTTGGTGTTGGAGAAGAGTATTGAGGGTACCATGGACTGCTAGGAAAACAAACAGATTCATCCTGGAAAGGGTTAAACCGGGTGGCTCCTTGGAGGCAAGGATTCTGAGGCTCCTTCTAACATACTTTGGACATGTTGTGAGGAGAGACCAGTCCTTGGAGAGGGACATCATGCTTGGGAGGGTGGAGGGACGGCGCAGGAGGGGAAGGCCCTCTATGAGGTGGATTGATTCAGTGACTGGTGTAATTGGGATGGGTGTGTCAGAGACAGTGAAATTGGCACAGGACAGAGCAGTATTTAGGGCTGTTGTACATAGGATCGCTGAGTCATAATTGACTGGATGGCACATAACTGCAACAACAACAACTCTTAAGTGTTTTAGAGCTATCCATGACAGTGGACTTGCCCAGTGCAATATGTCTCCTGACTGCTGGTGCCACAAGTGTTGACTGTTGATCCAAGCAGGATAAAATAATGATTTTAAAACAGCTTCAATTCTTTCTCCATCTATCATGATGTTCTTCTCTGTTGGCCCTGTGGTGAGGACACTTGTTTTATTGATACTGAGTTGTAATCCATACTGAAGGGTGTAGATCTTAATCTTCTGTAGCAAGGGTTTCAAGTCCTCCTCACTTTTAGCAGCAAGGTTTTGTCATCTGTACAATGCAAGTTATTGATAAATCTTCCTCCAATCTTGATATCACATTCTTCTTCACATAGTCCAGCTTGACTAATTATTTGTTCAGCATACATATTGAACAGGTATGGAGAATGGATACATCCTTGACACACACCCTTCCTGTTAAACCATGCAGTGTTCCCTTGCTCTGTTCAGACAACTTCTTGATGTAGGTATAGATTTCATATGAGCCAGAAATGTTTGGTAGCTCTTGTTAGTGTCAAAGCATGACTTCCAAGGCCCAATAGAACTGATCTCTGCCATTTCTCTAGCTCCTCCACTCATGTGTCTTTCACTGCAACACTGAACTACCTATAGCTTCCCAGACTCACCATCACTTCATGCCTCAGGACCTTTGCATATGTCCATCCTCCCTCCAGCCATTCACTCTGTGAATCTTCACAACTCTGACCTAAAGCTACTTCTTTGGGCTGTCCTAGATAGCTAATGCTGCTGTAACAGAAATATCTTAAGTGAGTGACTCTAACTAATAGAAATTTGTTTTCCACAGACTCTGGAGAAGGTTCTTTGTCGTCTCTGGGGAGGGGAGGAGTCCTTTCTTAGCTTCTCTAGAAATATTTCTCAGCATTCTCAGGTTCCTTAGCAACCTGCACATGGCATCTATCTTTTCTTCATTTGTGCTTGCTTATTCTTTTGCCTATTCTATTTATATTTTTAAAGTGATTGGATTTAAAATACTCCCTACATTTTAGAAGCTTGCATATAAGGTGCAGCTGTTGATCTCTCCCTGTCTGGAACTAATAAGACTAAAGAAAAGCAATGATGCATAGAAATAATTCACCCAAAGGACTAGTAGACCACAGAAACTTCAACCTTGAGAGCAGAAGAACTAGATGGTGCCCAGCTACTACTGCTGACTCCTCTACAAGGGCTCACTGTAGAAGGTCCGGGAATGTTGTTGCTGTTGTATACCAGTGAGTAGAAACTGACCCATAGCTGACCCTCTGAAGGGCAATTACACAGGAAGAGATTGCCCATCCTTCTCCTGCAGAGCATTTAGCCAGTAGGGAATTCTGGTGGCACATGGAACAATACTAAAAAACAAAACTGTTTATTGTTCTGATAGAGACTGGTTTAATCCCCAAAGACTGTGGTTTGTAGACACCCATGAAACCTAAAACAGAACTCCTCCCTGGGCTTAATTGTCAGCCAAACAATAAACAAGCCTATAAAGGTGGCCACTGACACCAGAGAAGTACTCAGTCCTTAGAACGATCAGCCATACAAGATCAAAAAGGCAGCATTACCCCAGGTGAAGCTCAGAAGGCAGGAAAGGGTAGGATAGAATGATCAGTGGAAATGAGAATAACAGGGAGGAATCTGGATATGTGTGGTTACTTTGTGTGTCTCATAATTAATTCAAAGTGTGTATGAATGTGTACAAGTGATTGAATGGAAAACCAGTTTGCTTTCTAAGCTTCTACCAAATCACAATTTAAAAAGGAGGGGGAACCACTCCCTGAACTGATACAGCCTCATTAACATAAAAGTCTAACCTCAAATAGGAATGCATCCACAAATACAGAAATTAGAATTCCAATACATATTTTGATCTAAACAACTCAATTAATAATATTTTCTTGAAGCCTTCTATGACCATCTCCAAACCAAAGTATCTGCTTCCTCTCCTGGGCTGCTTCTGTCCATCTGTGTGTATTTCTGCTTACTATATATGTCACACTTTAATCATTTGTTCATGCGTCCATCTTCCCACAAGCTGGGGCCAGGTGCTGTGTCTTCTTCATCCTATACCACCTTCAATACCAAAGACCTGGCCTGACCCAGCCAGTGATCAGTAAGTTTTGGCTGGAACAGCAGGCATTCTGTCCTGCAACATAGTTAAGAACCTAAGGGAATTCCTACAGCTGAGTTGAGCTTTGAGATGTTTAAAAAAGGAAACATCTATAAAAAAAATACAAACAAACCCATGAGAAAAACACAGTGTGGAAAAGACGAAAATATAGCTCATGGTAAGGGCATGCAGAGAGGAGCTGGTGTGCTGTTGGGGAGAGGCTGGCCCAGGCCAAAGTCAGCAACTGGAAGCCGGGGCCCATCCAGAACCCACCCCTGCCCCTCCCCATCCAGGTGCCCTTCTGGAACGGCTGCAATGAGGATGAACACTGTGTCCCCGACCTCGTGCTGGACGTGCGGAGCGACCTGCCCACAGCCACGTGAGTGGACTCCTCTCCCTCACAGCTAGCCTCTGGGGCACCCTGGCCTGGACTGTTTCTCAGAGGCACCTTGGGACAAGCATTGAACTTGGAGCCTGAGTTCAATCCCAGGCTCTGCCTTTAGCTGCTGTGTGGCCTTGGGCAAAATCCTTCCCCTCTCTGAGCTTTAGTTATCTTCTCAGTAAAATGAAAAACCACCAATCTAACCTGACCTCCTCAAAGTCTGTTTAGAAAAGAAATACTTTCTTTGAAACTCATTCTACAAATTAGAGAAAAGATAGAGGTGGGAGATTAAAAATGCTGAGCAGTTGTCCTCCAAATCCACAGACCAGGTGACCTCAGGGTCCACTCGCTGAACACCTGGACCTGACTCTTAGGAGACTAGCAGGGGACTAGTAAGCTGTCCCCACTCTCCTGGGATAAACAAACACACACTCAAAGCAAAAAAATAAATATTATCATAATTTAAATTTATGTAATGCATTTGCAAATACTTTGGGCTTGAGTTTTATCGAACTTTAAAATCATTCCTAATCTTGTCGTTGTTCTGTGCTGTTGAGTCAACTATGATTCATTGCAACCCTGTGAACAATAAATAGCTCTGAACCTCTCCCTGTCCTACTAGAGGACCTAAGTACCCTGTCTACACAGTAAGTCGTTGTTGTTGTTGTTGTTGTTGTGTACCATAGAGTGGAAACCAATCCATAGCTGATTCTCCAGAGGCTTTTCAGAGACAGGAGGAGATTGTCCATCCTTCTCTGGTGGAGCAGCTGGTGGCCTCAAACTGCCTACCTTTGGGATTGCAGTGCAGCTTCTTGCCACTAAGCCACCAGAGCTCCCTGTACACAATAAGTAGAGGTAGCAGACTCGGACTGTGTAGAATGATGAAGAAGCAAATATTCCAACCATGTAGACTAACGGTCAGAATTTGCTCTACATTTATATCCACAATTCCTGGAAACCATAGCTAAAAGGGAAATGTGTTAGGTAGGAAGGTGATGGTTAACTAGGGAAGGCTGGGCTCAGAGGAAGGTATACTCTCTAGTGGGGAGACCCTGAGTGGTGCTAATGGCTAACAGGCTTAGATGCAAAAGGGTGGAAATCCAAGTCCACCCAGAGGCACCTCAGAAGAAAGGCCTGGTGAGCAACTGCCTAAAAAATAATCAGTCATTAAAAACTCTGTGGAGCTTCCTGATCACATTGTGTCACCTGTCCCTCATCTGCATGGCTAGGTGCTAATGTCCTAGCGTGCAGGTGACACCGCCAGGGAGGACACCACTCACTGTGGAAGGTGGAAGGGCTGGGCCTCCCAATCTCAAATAAAGCTATTTATCCTCAAATAAGCCCATTTATCATGTGCAAAATAAAATCAGACCACCTATGGATCACAGATGTACCCTAATAAACTTGAGGTCACTTTGAGTTGCTGTTGACTCAATGGCAGTGGTTAGCAGGGAGGAGACAGGGGCCTTTGGGGCAGGCAGTGGTCTTGACCAGTGAGCTCTTGCCAGCGCCTCATCCATATCCTCTCCTCTCCTCTCCCAGTGGCTATTCCACAGGCCGGGGCCAAACAGGTACCCTCACTGATCTGACCAAACCTGGCCGCTGCTCTGTCCTCCCTGTATCCCTTCCTGCCTGACCCCTGCTGGCCTCTTTCCCGCAGGGAGTACTGTCAGAGGGTCCTGCGGAAGCCCGCACAGGACTGCTCCGCCTACGAGAGGTCCTTCGACGCCACGGTCTTCATCATCGAGAGCACGCGGCGCCGGGTGGCCCTGGAGGCCACGCTGGAGAACAGGGGCGAGAACGCCTACAGCGCAGTCCTGAACATTTCACAGTCGGCAAACCTGCAGTTTGCAAGCTTGATCCAGAAGGTGAGGGCTCAGCGACCTGCTAGGGCTGCTGGAGGGAAAGGTGGAGAGCCAGGGCAGTCACCTGGGGACCTGAAAACGCCAGACTTCACCCCCAGAGACTGACTGATTGAGCTAGGCTGGGGTCTGGAATCTGTTAGCTTTTAAAGCTCCCTGGAGGAGCTCAGGCTGCAGCCAGGGCTGAGAACCACCAGTGGAAGGCAGAGTCTGAGTCCTTGGTCTCAATGAAACAAGATATCCTTCCACAGGGTTCTTTGTTGGGGACACATAGGTATGTGCATGCACATACACACACACACACACACACACACACACACACACACACACACACACGGCACATGGATGTTCATACAGCATCAGGCTTTCTCGAAAGGCTCCCTCTAACAAGAATTAGAATCTTTTAATTACTCTTGCTTTAAAATGTTCAACAATTTCTCATTGCTTTTGCAACAAATTCCAAAATCTTAATCCCAATGTCCCAGACTCATCCCCCGCCTCTCTACTCACCCCTGTCCTGCTCCCTTCACCCACCCCCCCATGTGCTATCCCTCTTTCACACCAGGCCCTGTCCACGTGGCCCCGTCAGGACAACCCTCTTGGTCCTACTTGGTGCATAGCGTATACCATGTGCCTACAGTGAGCCAGGTACAGGCACTTTGCATGCACTTAAGCTTTACCATGTATCATAAGTATCAGTGGTTGTATCCCCATTTTAGAGAAGAGCAAACTGAGACACTGGAAAGGGTAAAGTGGCCTGCACAGAACCACACAGGTAGCAAGTGGAATACCTGCCCTATGGCTAGCAAATGAGTCTGCAATTCACTATAGGATGTGTCTTCTACAAGCCCTGGACGCAGCTGGACACAGCTTCCATCTACGTCTGCTACCTGAGGAAGGGGGAATTTTAAGGGGAGGAAACTCCCCCTCTCAGCCAAGTGCAACTATGTTCTTCTGATCACATGCAGAAATCTAGACGTGCATACAAGGAAGCATACATGTTCTGTCTACACACGCCTCCATGCAGAGCCTCTGCAGAGTCTGTGCAAGCAGGCACCCCAGGCCACATGTACATATTCCCGGGGACAGCATGAGCCTTCGCCAATGAATGAGCTGAGCTGGTGCTGCATCCATAGCCTGGGGGTCACATGCCATGTCCAGCTGCCCCTCTTACCCCCTACCTTTGTCACTCACTGGGTCATCTGCATACACCTTCTTTCCCAAAGGGACTGACATCTAGGGAATGAGCTGGCTTGGAAGTATGAGGCAGGAGGAGTGAACAAGGATGATGGGCCATCAGAGCTAAGGGGGCCTTGGATTAAGGCCCAGAGAACAAGGAAGTGTCTTTCTCTGCTCCTAAGTAGCAGGTGTTGGCCACTGGTAAGGGAGCTGGGGAAGGGGCTCAGAGAAGTTCCCCACTGGCCCCACCAGGAGATCAGCCCACTTCATCCTCACTGCTTTATAGTGGAAAAACACTGATTTCTGTGAAATCTTTGGCCCACACACTGCTATCTAGTTGAGTCTGACCAATTGTGACCCATAGGGCCAAATAGGCCTGTCCCATAAGGCTTCTGTTGCCATAACCATTTGCAGGAGGACTACTGTATCTTTCTCCCAAGAGGGTATGATGGGTTTCAACCCTTGACCCTTTCAGTTACTGAGTTCACTATGCCACGATGCCCCAAAGCGATTCCCTTCCAATTGCTCTGGTGGGGAAATGTGTGGTCAAGCAGAGGTCTGAAAGCCACCAGGAGGCAGGAGAGCCATCTCCTCCTGCGCCCCCTGCAGGCAGATGGAGGAAGTGCAGGCTTCAGAGCCACCTCCCAGCACCACCTCCTGCCAGGCTCAGCTTAGATGGAGTCTTCCTCTCTGGACGTCAGGGTCCCCGCCTGTGAACAAATGGTAGGCCCACATTTGAGGCTGGCAAGGTGTCAAAGAGGAAATGGCAAAGTGTGTATGTGAGTGGCTGCCAGTGCTTTCCACAGCCCAGCTGCTAAGTGCATCCCCTGCTCCACACTGTCCCCCACCATTTCCACTTTGGAAGAGACATACCCCAGCTCCTATGGCTTCTGTGCTCCGGAGCCCCCAGAGAGCTGGGAGGGGTGGTGGAGTGAGGGTCTCAGGCCCCATCTGACCCTTCTCCGGGATTCTTTCTACCCCCTACCTCAGGATGACTCTGACGGCAGCATCGAGTGTGTGAATGAAGAGAGGAGATTCCATAAGAAAGTCTGCAATGTCAGCTACCCTTTCTTCCGAGCCAAGGCCAAGGTTAAGGCTGGGCCTGCATGAGGGAACATGGGGAAGGGGCATGGGTGGGTGCTGGAGGCACAGGGAGGCAAAAGTAATGGAAGTGAACGGAAGGACAGAGGAGGAATGGAGAGGCCTGGGGGTGGCATGGCTGTGTAATAGTTTTCTTGTCCCATTAAGTGAAATTCAAGTAATCTAATTAGCCAGCCAATCCCCCAGGCTGACAGCTTACCCCTGGAGAATTCTCAGACCCTTTTTACCTCCAGGGAACCCCTGCCCTCCCCCAATCCCACTCCCAGCCCTGCCACCCACTCTCGGTCAGTCCCACTGTCCTTGATCCTGATAGTCCTTCAAATTCCCAGCTCTTTTCTTTGTCCTCTCTCTGTGTGTGGTGAGGAATGGAGAGAGAAACTGGCATTCGGAGAGTACTTCTGGGGAGGGGGGGGGGGGTGTGTGCATTCCCCAGCACCAAAGAATCGTGTGGAAAGAGGGAACAAATTAGGTGAATTAGACAGGAAAGGGGGCCAACTCCAGGAGGTGGGGAAATGTTCTGCCTTCACATCAGGCAGTCGGCAGTCACTGAAGGTTTCAGAGCAGGAAAAGACCAGATTGAGGCTGAACTCCTGGTTTAGTAAGGTGGCAATCAGAGGAACTGGGGCAGACGCGAGGCCAGACAAGGGAGTGTGTTTCCAGAAGCAGGATGCCCAAGGCTGGGGAAGGGAGAGGATGTGAGGGGAAGGAGATTAGGATTCCCCTCCAGTGGGACAGAAATCAAGGTTGTGGTTTTCAGAGCTCTAGTGTCTCCCCAACAACCTCAGGAGCTAAATGTGGTAGACTGGGGAGGGAGGAGACCAGATCATACGACAGACTGGCCCAGCCCCAGCCACCTCCTGAGAGCTCTTTGGGAAACCTCAGCTTGAAAATCAGACATAGAGAGGATGGAAGGGGTCAGCCCAGAGTGCCAGCAGTGTCCCTGGGGCAGGCCAGGTAGGAGATAAGAAGGGTCAGATGTTACAGGGCCACAGACAAGGGACTTGGGCCCCTCATGGTCTGGGGCACCCATGTGGTAGAGAGTCTGCTGGACAAGGAAGCAGGTGTCTTTTGAACCTACTGAGTGTCCCAGGCAGCCTTCACCCTCGTACTTATACATCCATACACTGTGAGAGAGGAGGAGGTCTTTCTACTGGCTCCTGTCTACTATATCCTCTGGTGCACAGTGCCAGCCATCTCCCCTTCCCCTGTCACTTGCCTCTTTCCTCTAAATTTCTGCAGGTGGGATCTAAACCTGGACCTACTATATTCTGCAGTCTCTAGTTAAAAACAAAAATGAAGAAGGAGGAAGGGGCCTGGTACCTCAGCCAAGGAACCCCAGTGCAGAAGCTGTTGTCTCTGGCTACATTCTCCTCAGATGCCCCCTAAGCCTCGGCTCACATTACACCAGCACCTGGTCCTCCTGTCATCCCCCCACCAATCCCAGCCAGAAGGGCCCACCCAGGCGGGCAGGAAGTGGGCAATCTTCCCAGGCCAGGTCCCGGCAATGCCCAGACATGCCGCTCTCTGCTCAGATGGCTTCTCCTTGCAGGTGGCGTTCCGTCTGGATTTTGAGTTCAGCAAGTCCATCTTCCTGCACCACGCAGAGGTCCAGCTCATCGTGGGCAGGTCAGGCCTCCCTGTCCCCCTCCCTCCTGCTCTGGACTCCTGGGTCCTGCTCTTTCTGCCCTGCCACTAGAAACTGTCCCTCCTGCTATTGAGCCCAGTGCCTGACACCTCCCTGCCCCAGGCTGGGCGGAGTCCCGGGTAAATCCAAGAGGCCACCAAGCACCAGGAGTCTTCACGTTCTCAAAGTTTGACTATAACTTATAATCACCATGCCTCATCTTTAACATAAACCAGTTGCCATCAATTCCAATTTGGCTGTCCCCATGTGCCAAAGTAGAATTGTTCCAAAGGGTTTTCAGTGGTTAATTTTTGTTTTTATAAGTACATCACCAGGCCTTTCCCCCACAGTGCCTCTCTTGGACTTGAACCTCCAATGTTTTGGTTAGAAATTGGACACATTAAGTGTTCTCTCACCCCAGGGATTCCTTACCTTAATAGAGCAGTTGTTTTGGGGTTTTTTATTAGAAACTCTCAGGTACAAAGCACTGGTCAGGTCTCACAGCAGCCCCTTAATTAGACAAAGCCGAGATCATGCTCCACTACCATTACAGGTTTTAAATATGAGGATCAGAGAGGTTGGGTGAAATTCCCAATGACACACAGCATATATGTAACAGAACTGGGAACTAAACATTTTACTCTTTGCCCAGTGTTCTTTCCTGTTCATCTCTCTCTCCTTGGAAGGTTTTACATTTTTAAGTGATCTTTTCCTACTCAGTATGTAGCTTCCCAGCCTTCTTCTATAGGTTAACACTGTGAATCGTGAATCGCTTTATGTCAATAGTGAGCCTGCTTTTCTTTTTCACATCATTACCTCAGTGGAAGGGGTTAGTTTGTCCCCTCTGGGGACGTATAGGTAGTCAAATCCACCTGAGAACTCCACGCTGAGAAAAAAAAATACTCTGGGCAAACTGAGCACCAATACACATGCACACTTACACACGGACTCACACATATGCACATTTACACATACATGGACACACATATGCATGTTTACATACATTTGCACATTTATACATATGCACATTTACACACATGGACTCACACGTATGCATATGTACACACATTTGCAAGTTTACACATATATGCACATTTACACAATGGACTCACATATGCATATTTACACACATGGACTTACACATATGCATATGTACATGCATTTTCAAGTTTACACATATATACATTCACACATATGCACATTTACACACATACACGCTCACGTGCATGCATATTTACATACATTTGCATGTTTACACATATATACACATGCACATTTACACACATGCACACTCGTGTGTGCATATTTACATACATGTATACTCACACGTGTACATACTTACACATGTACCCTCATGCATGCACATTTACACACACAGGCACACTCACATGTACACTTTCACACACACCCTCACACCCATATACTCTCTCCTACACACACTTCCACCCCAGTCAGAGGCTGAGAAGCACGGTCCATCCCCACACGGAAGGTACTCACTTCTGGTGCACTTTGACGGCCTTCTTCCTTGACATGAGACACGTTGTGCAGGTGCAGCCATGTGTCAAGGCCTTCCTCCTGCTCTTGCTCACACTTCACAACAACCTGTCCTCAGAAAGCTTGACGGAGCTGGCACAGGTCTCTGCACTGCTGTGTGTGCACTGTGGGTGTTTGTGAGTTCAGTGTGGGTAGGGCAGGGCATTATGTGGGTGTCTGGGTGGTGGGCATCCCTATCCTGGCAGAAGGCTCTCAAAAAGAGTAAGACAGCATATGTAATAAGCAGAAATCATGTCTTTTTATGTCCCTAACTATTTGACATGGTAGTTCATAGTGCTCAGCTGAAAAGGAGCACACTGTGAGAAACCCCCACCCCACCCCAGATTCCTCGGACTCCCACTCTCCCACCTTTCCACAGGCAGGCTCCCTGCTGACTGTTGATTACTAACTGAAAAATCTGTGGTTCGTGTTCACCAGCTGTCCTGCAGGATAAGATCTCTTTAACCTATAGTTGCCTCCTATAAAGTTTTACCACCTCAGAAGGCTGACAGGGGGTCCTTGTAAGTTGGCACCAGCTCGGTGGCTGTGGGTTTGGGTCGGCCTCTCCAGAGCAGTAGAGCCACCGTGGCCAGCCCCACTGAGGAAGGCACGTCACTCTCAGTAGGAGCACAGATAAACTTCTCTTCCGTGAATTCCAACGTGGTTTTCCTCCTGTGGTGGGCAAGCAGCTTCCTCTCACACACAGCCACAGCTCAAGATTTATCATCTGACATGTGTTAAGGAGGCTTAGAGGGATCTGATGGTCGAACAGGCAGGGTCAGTTCAGAGCTTTCCCCTGACCCCACACAGCCCAGAGGTGTGGCACTCCTAAGGAGGTGACAGGAACTAACCCCATTTATTCCCCTCTTAGAATCCCACAATCTCCCAAGCAAACACCTTGGGTTCCCTCCCTGTGTTCTAGTGTTTATCTGCCCTCATAAACCAGCATGTTCTCCCCTTAGTCTGACTTCACTGCCCCCTACCACAGCCAGGATACACTTGGCTGAGAGGAGGGAGGGCTGGGGACATCCTCACGCCTGACTTCTGGCTCTCTTGCAGTGACAGTGACGAGCAAGAGAGCACTAAGGAAGATAACACAGCCCTCCTGCGTTTCCACCTCAAGTATGAAGCCGATGTCCTCTTCACCAGGTGGGCCTGGCTCTCAGAGCCCAGGACACGAGGTGTGGGAGGGGGAGGTCTAGAAATGGGGCACCCTCTAGAGGCCTCTGTGGCACAGGCATCTCAGGGGCCCAGTGCAGGCACTGAGGGGTCTTGAAGGTGGAGTTAGGGTTAGGGCTAGGGACCCTGTGGTGAGGAGGAGGTGTCAAAGAAAAGGAAGGAGGAGGCCCAGTGAGAAGAGGGGGAGCAATGGAATTTATCTGCCCCAGACTTGGACAATAAGTTTGTAGAGTTTCAAAAATAGTACTAAAACTTAATAAAAGTCAGTCTGCTTTTTATTATCCCCATGCACCAGCAAATCCTAACAGTGTCAGGGTTAAAATGCTCCCCTCCGCTGGGCAGGCCACTCTCTCACTTTCCCCCACCTCTCAGTATGCCACTGGCCCCTAGTCTGAGAGGAAAGCAGGCCCTGTCTTCTGAGAGCCCCCTGGGTGGATGGAGACAAAGAAAGCAAGCTCAGGTGGTCCATGGCTCTGAGGCTGGAGTGACATAGGACAAAAAGGCCAAGTTTGTGCTCCAAAGGGGCCGAGCCCCTGGGCACAGAGTTGGAAGGAGGGCTCTCCTCCCTCCTGTCCCTGCCCACTCCCAGGACAGGCACTGCTAATAGATCTCCACCCTTACTCCTACCAGGCCCAGGCCAGGCCTCAGAATCCTTCCCAACGCCCCCAGCAGCCTGTGGACATGATGAAGCCTGCTTTCCCTAATCTGGGAAGAGGGACACGCACACATCTACTTTCCTTCACTTACTGCCCATAACAACACAGACTGAGTTTGCGACAGCCCTGCCTCTGTCCCCACAGGAACAGCAGTCTGAGCCATTATGAAGTCAAGGCCAACAGCTCACTTGACAGATACGATGGCATCGGGCCTCCCTTCAGCTGCATCTTCAAGGTGGGTTGAGGGACAAGAGCTAAGGACCCCCATTTGGGAGAGAGGAGTCTGTTGCCACCTCCTCACTGTGTGACTTTAAGTCATTTCACCTTCTCTATGCCTCTCGGGTCTCATGAAAAAGAAAAATTACTAAACTGGGTAACCCTGTCCAGGAGGATTAAGTTGGGCAGCATATAATTTTTTAAATGCTTTTAAATATAAAAGCCATGATTGAAGGCTACCAGGGGCTTATTCACTCCCCTATGAGGAGTCCAGAGTTGGCAGCTCCTCAAAGTCGTCCAGGACGGGCCCACCTGTCCTTCTGGTCCACATCCTCCACCTGTAGTGGACACCCTCATGGTCGCCTCGCAGACCAAGCTGGCTGCTGCTCCAGCCATCACATCCTCATTCCAGGCAGTGGAAGAAAGAGTACAGAAGAGCATGCCCTGTTCCCTTTTTAGGAACCTCCCAGGCAGTTTTTCACAGCATGTCTGGCTATCTCCCATAGAACCCTCCCATAGACCATAAGGCTAGGTTTTAGCTGGAAAAAAGGCTGGGAAATGGGGCTTCTCTGGTTTTTTCACTGTAGAAAGAGAGGGAGTGAGGATTAGCAGGTAATTTCATAATGTCTGATACAAGTTCTCTGTACCCCTGAACTTTTGTGAGTTTATGCACTTCTCCTGTAAATGGTGATGGCTGGGAACAGACTCAGCAGAAAATCATACCTCAGATACAGTGAGCCCTGGATAACTTGTCTGAGAGAAGTTTAGAAACCTGGTAGAGATCACAGAGCTCATACATGATGGCAGCCCCAGTGATAGAGTCTGTCTTCTGATTCCAACACCTCACTTATAAGCCTTAGTGCTTTGACATAAAATGTATCATAACTAGGATGTATGCTATTACACACTCATTACTATATTCTTTATTAATTACATTATCTCCTATGACACATTAAGACTGTCACCATCTCCACTCCTGGCCTCTGCCCAGGTGTCCACCAACAGCAGGCAACAAAAAGGGCCAAAACCGGAAGTGAGGCCTTGTCTTCCAGGATCATGGCCCCAGTATCCCACCCCATCTCTGTGCCCTTGGAAGGGTTCTCTTCTCCCTGCAGAATACACACATGGCTGGCTGGGGGATTCACTACACCAAGGAGACCTCACTCTCCACCCCCAACTTCCGCTGTGTGTGCTGACACCTCCCCATCTCTGGCCACAGATCCAAAACTTGGGCTTGTTCCCTGTGCACGGGGTGATGATGAAGATCACTGTCCCCATCGCCACCAGGAGCGGCAACCGCCTGCTGATGCTGAGGGACTTCCTCACTGACCAGGTACCAGTGTCCTCTGTGGCCAACTGGGGGAAGGGGACAGAAGGAGAAAGGCTCACCCCCTGAGTATGTTCCCAGACCCCAGCTTCCTTCTCTCCGAGCCAAGGCCAGCTATGTCTACTCTGGAAAGAGGAGAAAGGGAACTTTTCTGGGGAACTGAGCTGGAGAGAACTGATTACGAGGTTGTGGTCCTGTCCTTTGTGCAGGGGAACACGTCCTGCAACATCTGGGGCAACAGCACTGAGTATCGGCACACCCCAGCGGAGGAAGAACTGAGTCATGCCCCACAGCTGGTGAGCACCCCCTCACAGAGACCACCAGGGAAGGGGGGAAGGGGGTCCTGAACTCCAGGGGTGATTTCTCTCCACATACAATAGTGTGTCAGTAAGAGCTCATTGACTTACATGAAAAGAGCAAATAGGTAGAAACTGCAGTTGCACTACCAATCCAAAGGCACAAGGTTCTAATCCACAGCTGCTCAGAGGTAGAAAGATCAACAGTCTTCTGCGTGATTTACAGTGTCTGAAAACCCTCTGGAGGGTCAACTATGAGTCAGTTCAGATGTAGACAGCACCTACCAACAACAGGAAAAGGGGAGTTTTTACTTGAGGAGCATGACGTTTATGTTACTTGTGGTGGAATGATTTGGAAAAGGGTAACTGAATGATTGCCCAATCTCAAGAATACCATCAATGTGACTGAATTTTCAAGTAGACATTATTGAAATAGTATATCGTTTCTTCACATTCTTACCACAATACATTTACTTAATAATTTTAAGAAATTTTATTAGACCCTCACAAGCACCTAATGTGCTCAGCCTCAACCTGAGAGGAACTAGAATGTAAAGAAGCTTTGTGAGCGAGTGTGTGGATGGGGGCTGACAGACCAAGAGGGTTTCTACATGGCTAGCCAACAACAGGAGACCAAGCAGGCAGCTCAGAGCTCAAGGAATGGAGACAGTGGGCTTGCACTGGGCCTAGAAGGACTAGTAATCATTCTTAAAATGAAACCAACCGAACAAAAAAACTACTGCTATGGAGTTGATTCTGACTCATAGCAAGCCAGAAGAGAACTGCCGACTGAACCAAGGCTGTAACTCTTTATGGGAGAAACTGCCTTCTCTCCCTCCCACTGGGAACCATTGGCTTTTTATTAGAAGCCCACTTGATTCGCTGCACCATCAGAACTCTGAAAGAGCTGGTAGGTTGTAGATAAGCAGAGAGAAGAAAGAGAGTGTGTGGAGCAACAGCCTGGAAACCAGAACACCGTAGATATGCTGTAGACATTTGATCAGATCTGCTGAGACCTTGCTGCCCTGGAGAGGGAGCCCAGCTCAACCTCAGCTGCCAGTATGTTCTGTGCAATCCAGAGTCTTCCCCAAGGCATCTGCCAGTTTCCAGATCTGTGGTCACCTCTGCCTACAATCCTGAAACTGCGCTACAAACCCGAAGCCCCCAAAAGCCACCAGCTGTTCTGCAGGAGAAGGATGGGCAGTCTCCTCCCATGTGATAAACTGCCTCTGCAAACCCACAGCAGGTCAGCTATGGGTCGGTTTTGACTCGATGGTACAAAACAACAACAGACAGAAAACATAAATATTTTCATTTTCTTTTCCCAAGAAAGTGTATCACACGAAGTTGGGCTTGTTTGTCTGTTTCAGTGCAGTTCACATTATTGACAGTTTGGGCTTGGGTGGGGTCTGGGGTGGAAAGCAAGACAGCAACACAAACAACTTCAAGTTAACAGGGTAATTATGTGTCTGAAGATGTGTTTGAGTTTTCTATTAAGATTGTATCATCTCTAAATGATAGCTATTTTCATTTTTCCTTTCATTAGTCATAATTTTTTTTCTCGTCTTATTGCTCTGACTAGTACCCCAAGGCAATGGTGAATAGAAGTGGGGTTTGTTTTTATCATGATTCAAAAGGATTTCTTTTTAATTTTTCCTTATTAAATACGGCATTTGCTGTTTTGTTTCATAAGCACCCTTTGATCAGATTCAGGAATTTACTAGGAGTCCTTATCACTAATGGAAGTTCTTTCTGATTCTGTTGCTATGATCATATAACTTTATTCCCTCTGATTTGTTTGTGTAATACGGACAATTACTTATTTCTGTAAAAAGAGCTAGGGCCACATGAGGAATGTCATATCTTTATTAACCTCACAGGAGGAAACTATCCCCACCCAGAGAATCAACAACACAGAACCAGTTCCCATGAAGTCAGACATGTCCCCCATGCTCCCATGCCTCTTCCTCCTCAACACCAATCTTACTGCTTTGCTGGGTCCAAAATCTGACATGTTAGCTCACAGACCACACAAATCCATACTGAGGGAGGTAAAAGGTTATAATTCAGATTGATAACAAAATACAGTCAAGACAGCTCCCAAAATGTGTACACAGGCACCTCAGCCTCGCCTTGTGGCTCGAGGTGTTCCCAAGTTCTCAGTCCTGCCAATACTGGCTTCTCCCATTATTGTCCAACAAAGTTCTCAGTTCTGCAAATATTGGCCCCACCTCACCCCAATTTCCCATCTCACATCCAGTTTTCCAGTTCAGCCATTGCTGCTGCTGCTGCTGCTGCTGCTGCTGCTGCTGCTGCTTATCCTGAAGTGTTTCCTACATTTCACTGGGTTTGAGGAACCTTCTCTGGCTCGGAAAAGAATTCCTGTTCTCTACAGAAAGAGCTGTTCAATTTATTGGCAAGACTAGTCAATCCTCTTGTACATTGTTGAGATTGGCCAATCCCGTTGTGGAATGATACATAGCCAGTTTCACTCATACAGTCCCACCCCTCCATATAGTCATCTACACTGTTGTTGTTATATGTGCCATCGAGTCGCTTGTGACTCATAGCGACCCTGTGTACAAAAGCCCTAAACGCCGTTCTATCCTGTGCCAACCTAGCCATCTCAAACGCACTTATTCCCACCGCTCCAGTCATCCATCTCATCGAAGGTCTTCCTCTCCTTCGCTGCCCCTCCATTCTGCCAAACATGATGTTCTTTCCAAGGACCAGTCCCTCCTTGCAACATGCCCAAAATATGTCAGACAAAGCTTCAGAATCCTTGACTCCAAAGAGACATCCGGCTTCACCCTCTCCAGGACAAACCTGTCTGTTCTCCTAGCAGTCCATGGTATATTCAACCCTCTTCTCCAGTACCACAGCTCCAAGGCATCAGTTCTCTTTCTATCAACCCTATTCACTGTCCAACTCTCTGATGCATAGCACGTAATTGCCTAGACTATAGCCTGGATCGGGTGCGCCTTAGTCTCCAGTCTGACATCGTTGCTCTTCAGTACTCTTGAGAGATCCCTCACAGCCCATTTTCCCAATGCAATTCCTCTCTTGATTTCCTGGCTGCTGTTACCAAGAGTGTTGATTGTGAAGCCAAGTAAACTAAAACTGTTAACTATCTCAGTCTCTCCACCATCCATACTAATGCTGCCAATTGGCCCAGTGGTTAGAATATTTGTTTTCTTGACATTTAGCTTCAGTCCATATAGGAGTCTGCAGTCCTTGATCTTCTGCAGCAAGCGCTTCAGGTCCTCCTCAGTTTCAGCAAGCAGGGTTGTGTCATCTGCATAACGCAGGTTGTTGATGATTCTTCCACCAATCCTGATGGCACATTCCTCTTCGTATAGCCCAGCGTCTCAGATGATCTGTTCTGCATATAGATTGAATAGGTATGGAGACAGAATACATCCCTGACGAACCCCCTTCTTGATTTTGAACCATGTAGTGTCTCCTTGCTCTGTTCTGACGACTGCCTCTTGGTCCAAGTATAAGTTTCTCATTAGCACAATCAAATGTTCTGGGATTCCCATTCTTCTCAGAGTCTGCCACAGCTTGTTGTGATCCACACAGTCAAAAGCCTTTGCATAGTCAATGAAGCACAGATAGACATTCTTCTGGTATTCTTTGCTTTCTGCCAAGATCTGTCTAATGTTACCTATTATATCCCTAGTACCGCGACCTCTTCTAAACCCAGCCTGCACATCTGGCAGTTCTCTGTTGACATATTGTTCCAAACATTATTGGATAATTTTCAGCAGACTCTTGCTTACATGTGATATTAATGATATTGTTTGATAATTTCCACACTGTTGGGTCACCTTTCTTTGGAATAGGAACAAATATCAATCTTTTCCAGTCAGTGGGCCATCTTTTCCAGTCAGTGGGCCAGCTGGCTCTTCTCCAGATTTCTTGGCACAACTTAGTGAGCACATCCAGGCCAGTGTCTGTTTGTTGAAATATGTCAATTGATATGCCGTCAACTCCTGGAGCCTTGTTTTTTGCCAATTCCTTCAGAACAATTTCAACTTTCTCCTTCATCACCATAGGCTCTTGCTCATATGTCATTTCATGAAATTCTTCTGTGTCAGTCAATTCCTTCTGAAACAGTGACTCTGTGTATTCCTTCCATCTTCTCTTGATACTTCCTGGATCATTTAACATTCTACCCAAAGTATCCTTAAGTATTGCCACCCATGGCTTGAATTTGTTTTTCAGCTCCTTCAGCTTAAGAAAAGCTGAGCGAGTCCAGCCCTTTTGATTTTCTGACTCCAGCTCTCTGCACATTTCATTATAGTATCTTGCTTTGTTGTCCCGGGATGCCTTTTGAAATTTTCTGTTTAGCTTTTTGATTTCTTGGCTTCTTCCTTTAGCTTTGGCTTCTTGGCACTCTCATGCAATATTCAGAGTCTCATCTGACATCCATCTTGATCTTTTCTTCTTCTGCAGCCTTTGTAATGATCTTTTACATTCTTCATGGATGATTTTCTTGATACTCTCCCAGAGCTCATTTGGTCTACGCTCATTGGTGCTCAAGGCCTCAAACCTTTTCCTGAGATGGTTTTGAAATTCGAGTAGGATCAAATTTTGGTTCCCGTGGACTTGATTTCATTTTCCTCAACTTCAGCTTAAACTGCATATGAGTAGTTGGTGGTCTGTCCCACAATCAGCACCCAGCCGGGTTTTCACTGCTGATATTGAGCTTCTCCACCGAGTCTTTCCACAAATGTAATCTATTTGATTCCTATGCATGCCATCAGATGAGATCCATGTGTATAGCCTGTGTTTGTTTCTTATAAAAGGTATTTTCAATGAATAAATCATTGAATGTGCAAAACTCTATCCTTCTATCTCCAGCCTCATTTCTCTCACCGAGCCCGTATTTTCCAGCTACTGATCCTTCTTCTCTGTTCCCAACTTTTGCGTTACAGTCGCCCATTATTAGCAATGCATCTTGATCGCATGTTTGATCAACTTCTGACTGCAGAAGTTGGTAGAAATCTTCTATTTCCTCCTCTTTGGCTCTAGTTTTTAATTATAGTGGTATTCACTGGACTTCCTTGTATGCATATGGATATTATCCTGTCACTCACCACATTGTATTTCAGGATGGATCTAGAAATGATTTTTTAAAATTATGAAACCAACTCCATTCTTTCTCACCTTTTCATCCCCAGCATAGTAAATTATATCATCGTCTGATTCAAAATATCCCATGCCAATCCATCTCATTTCATTGACACTAGAAAGGCCATATTGAGAGACAAACTCCACAATTTCCTAATGAGAGCTCTGGTGGTCTAATGGTAAGGAGCTGCACTATCAACACAAAGACATGCAATTCGAATCCACTAGCTGCACCACAGGAGAAAGACGGGCCGTGTTCTTCCATGCTATTTACTGCCTCTAAAAACCCACTGGAGGGTCAGCTATAAGTTGGTTCTGACTCAACAGCACATAACAGCAACAATACAATGTTGAACCAAGGAACTCCCTGGTGGCATAGTTTCTTTTGTGTTAAACTGATAACCACAAGTTCAGCAATTTGAATCTGCCACTTGTCTGCAGGGAAAAGATGGGCAGTCCTCTTGTAAAGATTTATAGCCTCTAAATCCTGATGATTCCTTTAGATTTGGCTTCCCAGTGTCCCAGTGCAATCTTTAGAGTCTCTTCTGACATCCATTTTGGTTTTTTCTTTCTCCCCTGTTTTTTAATAGCCTTTTGCTTTTTTCATGGATGATATCCTTGATATCATCCCACAACTCATTTTGTTTTTTATCATTGGTGTTCAATGCCTCAAACCTATTCTTAAGATGATCATTAAATTCTTATGGAATTGATTCAAGATTGTATCTTGTTTCTGTGGGCTTATTTTCATTTTATTTGGCCTCAGTTTGAGCTTGCATATGAATAATTGATGATCTGACCCACAGTCTGCCCTGGCCTAGTTTTGGCTGCTGATAGTGAGCTTCTCCAACGATTTCTTCCACAAATGTAGTCAGTCTGATTCCTATGCAGTCCATTGAGTGAAATCCATATGTAAAGTTGTCTTTTAGAAAAAGTATTTGTGATGAATAAATCATTGTAAATACAAAATTCAGTCATTCTATTTCCAGCCTCATTTCTATCACCAAGCTCATATTTTCCAACTACTGTTCCTTCCTCATTGTTTCCTACATTTGTATTCCAGTCACCATTATCATTAACACATCCTGATTGCATGTTCAGTCAATTTCAGACTGCAAAATTTAGTAAAAATTCTCAATTTCTTCCGCTTTGGCAGTAGATGTAAGAGCATATACTTGAATAACAGTCATATTAATGAGTCTTCCCTGTATGCATATGGATATTATCCTATCACTCACAACATTGTATTTCAGGATAGAACCTGACTTTCAAGTTTTCTAAAGGAAAATATGTCAAAATAAAAGAGCTAAATAGACAGTTTCGAAGGACAGCTCAGGAGGACAAAGAAAAGTATTATAATGAAATGTGCAGAGAGCTGGAATTGGAGAATAAAAAGGGAAGAACTCGCTCTGCATTTCTCAAGCTGAAAGAACTGAAAAACAAATTTAGGCCTCGTGTCACAATGTTGAAAGATGCTATGGGCAATGTATTGAATGACCCAGAAAGCATCAGAAGATGGAGGAAATACACAGAGTTACTGTACTAGAAAGAATTGATTGACATTGAAAAATTTCAAGAAGTACTATATGAACAGGAGCCAATGGTAATGAAAGAGGAAGCAGAAGCTACATTGAAGGCATTGGCAAAAAATAAGGCCCGAGGAATCAATGGGATATTAATTAACTTGTTTCAATTAACAGATGCAGCCTTGGATGCACTCACCGGTCTGTGCCAGGAAATTTGGAAGACGGCTGTTTGGCCAATGGATTGGAAGAGGTCTATATTTGTTCCTATTCCCAATAAGGGTGATCCAACTGAATATGGAAATTATCAAACAATATAATTGTTATCACATGCTAGCAAAATACTGCTGAAGATTATTCAAAAACATCTGGAACAAGTTGTGGCTGACATTGAGAAGAATGGGAATCCCAGCACACTTGATTGTGCTAATGAGAAAACTATACCTGGATGAGGAGGCTGTTGTGCGAATGGAGCAGGGGAGTACTACATGCTTTGGAATTGGGAAGGGAGAGCATCAAAGATGTATTCTGTCTCCATACCTGTTCAATCGATATGCTGAGCAAATTATCCGAGAAGCTGGACTTTGTGAAGAGGAGTGTGGCATCAGGATGGAGGGAGACTCATCAATAACCTGCATTATGCAGATGACACAACCTTGCTGAAAGTGAGGAGGACTTGAAGCACTTGCTGCAGAAGATTGAGGGATGCAGCGTTCAGTATGGATTGTGTTTCAGTATCAAGAAAACAAAGATTCTTGCCACTGGACTAATAGGCCGTGTCATGATGGATGAAGAGGAGATTGAAACTGTCAACAACTTCATCTTGCTTGGATCCACAGTTAACACCCTTGGTACTAACAGTCAGGAAATAAGGAGATGCATTGCAATGGGAATATCTGCAGTTAGGGCAATTTTATTGAGGAGTAGTGATGTCACTTTGAGGATGAAGGTGCATCTGATTCAGGTCATGGTCTTTCTGATTACTTGCTATGCTGTCTGAGAGTTGGACAATGAATAAAGATGACAGAAAAAGAATTGGTGCCTTTGAGCTGTGTGAAGTTGGAGAAGAGCACTGAACACTCCATGTACAACCAAGAAAAGTAATAGCTATGTCTTGGAGAAGGTGCAGCCAGAGTGCTCTTTGGAGGCAAGAATGAGGAGGCTTCACCAAACATACTTTGGACATATTGCTAGGAGGTGCTATTCCTTGGAGAGGGACATGATGTTGGGAAGGGTGGAGGCGAAAGAGAGGAAGACCCTCAATCAGGTAAATTGACAGGGTGATTGACGCAGTGAGTTTTTGTGTGTCAGGAAGTGTGAGGATGGCACAGGACAGGACTGGTTTCAGATCTTTTGTTCATAGGGTCACTATGAGTCGTACTCGACTCAATGGAACGTAACAACAAAGACAAACCCTGATGAGGATACAACTATGAGTTAGAATCCTACCAAAATCTACTCAACAGCAGTACCTTGGGTTTTGGAACATTTTAGTTGCACTTCTTCTAAGACTGGTTTTCTTGGCTTGTTTTGTCTATTGTATATTTGTTTTGTTTTGGTAATGTCAAAGCACACGTGTTTTTCTAGAATACACTCCTCATCAAATGGAGGAGTAGACGTACTCAACCTGACCATGAGCTATCCCTTGGCACTTTCCCCCTCTCCTCCTCCCTTCTTCTCAGGGACAAACTCCCCTGTAATCAGGCAGCACAGTCAGCCACCTCTCTGGTGGCCCAGGCTTCTGCTCACATCCCAAAGCCCAGCTGCTCAGAACCAGCCTCTCTTTCAGAACCACAGCAACTCAGACGTGGTCTCCATCAACTGCAACGTGAAGCTGGCCCCTAACCAGGAAACCAACTTCCGCCTGCTGGGAAACCTGTGGCTGAGGTCCCTGAAAGCAGTAAGTGGGGTGCCTGGACTTGGTTGGAGGAAAGGGCAAGGAGGTGTGGGTGCTGGAGCAGCTCCTACCTGGGGCTCCAGGGGAAGGGGCAGCAGGAGGCCCCTGACTTGTGAATCAGCTTCTGACACGGCCTCCTCTGCTTGCACAGCTCAAGTACAAGTCTATGAAAATCACAGTCCACGCAGCCCTGCAGCGGCAGTTCCACAGTCCCTTCATCTTCCGAGAGGAGAACCCCAGCCGCCAGGTGAGTCTAGGGATCCTTGAAAAGGGGTATCCTTTCCCCAAGAGTTTCCATCAACTTCTGCTCCCCTTTCTTTCAAGAGAAGTGGCAGACCCCAGCAATAGTATACCATCTGAGGAGAAAAAGGAAAAACAAAACCACACACACAAGACAAACAGGTCCTCAGGGCAGGAAGGAGGTCAGGGTAGGCACCTGTGCTGCACCTGGGGGGAGTGAGAGTACTGCTTTGTGCTCCCTGCACCACAACCACCAGAGAAAGGGGAGAGGGGTGAGGAGTAGGGGAGACCCTGGCATTTGCATATTTCACACTAGGAAACCTATCGGCCCCACAGGAGCATTCCAGCTTTCTCCTCCTTATCATTCTCACTTCATATCTCATGAAATAAATGCAAGTGGGCCCTTTAGACATCTGCTGTGAACTGAATCTGTGAAGACACGGAGTGTGGAAGGCCTCAGCCTCAGTGGTGGAACTCCTCCCCCGTGACTCACAGATCAGATCAGCTCGAGTCAGCGTCCAGGAAGGATGAGGGAGGCTTTGTGAGTGCTCCTGAAAAAATGAGAAATTGAGTCTTAAAGAAAAACCAATGTTATCTAGTCCAGTGCCCAACGGAAAACCTTCCTGTAGGGCAGAGTGCAACAGCCCCCTAGGGTTTCCTAGCAGGAAGCTTTACACGAGCCGACTCCACGTCTTTTTTCCCCAAGAGGAAATAAAGGGTGCAAACCACTAATCTTTCTGTTAGTAGCTGAGAGATGAACCACAGCTTCACCAAGCCTCCCGGAGGAGATCCTGGCCTCTGAGAAGACTTCAGTGTCTGGGGTGGGACACTGCTGCCCTCCACTGGCCATATCCCAGAAATGCCAGCCGGCCTGGAATTCTTGATCAGCTGAAGCCAGCACTTAGGGTAGACACTGTGTAGCAAAATAGGTGTGGCCTGGGAGCCAGACCTCAACAAGGCAATCAGATGTCAGTCAGAAACCCCAGGCAGAGTGCCAGCAGGTACAAAGCAGTACTCAGGGAACCACTCACAAGTATATTTCATTCATTGATTCCACATGTGTGGACTATCCCTCCTGTGACTCCAGCCTTACATGTGATATAAGGATGCAGGTCATGATGAGGACAGCTTTCAGCAGAGTAGAGAATAAAACCAGTTGCCCCTGAGTCAATCCCAAAGTGTTACAATCTCACATAGAATGATGCTCCTTGAGATTCCAGAGCAGAGAATATAAAAATTTTTTAAAAAACAAAACCCATCGTTATTGAGTTGGAACAAACTCATAGCTGACCCTCCACCAAGTTTTTGCAAGGCTATAAATCACATTGGAGGAGATTGCCTATATTTATCCCCTAGAGCCAGTGGTGGTGGATTCGAACCACCACAGAGGTGCTGCCTTTGGTTTCTCAGCACAACTCCCCATGCACTAGGCCACCTGAGCTCCCTAGTGCAGAGACTAGGTGGCCTCACTGCTCACAGAGGGAGCTCTGGCGGTGCCATCTCCAAGGAGTTGTGCTGCTAATTCAAAGGCTATGCATCCTTGGTGGTTTAAACCCACCAGCTGCTCTGCAAAAGAGAGATGGGCAGTCTCCTCCCATTGCGATTTACAGCCTCAAAAACCGGAGGGAGGAGCCCTCCGAATCAGAACCAGCTTGACAGCAGTGAGTTTTTGCGATTTGGCCCCAGACTGCTGTGCTGAGAACAGACTGCAAGGGGCAGAGCAGAAGCAGGGAGGGGCAGGGGGTAGCACAGTCCCTGAATGAGAGATGAGGATGAGGGCTCAGTCTGAGGAGGTGGAAGGAGAGGGGAAGGAGAGGCCATATTCTGGTATTTCAAAGATAGCAGAAGCTTCATACTTTCACATGATAGTTGTTATGTGCTATTGAGTGAGAACAAACTAATAACTGATCCCTCAGAGGGCTTCAGAGACTGTAAATCGCATGGATGGAGTTTTCCCATCCTCCCACACACACAAAGCAGCTGTGGATTCGAACCACGAGCCTTTGGGTTGACAGTGCAACTCCTTACCCCTAAGCTACTATGTGGGCTGTGAAAATAACAATCAATGATGAATACAGGTTTTGACCTGAGCAACAAGAAGGGAAAGGACCTTTGCTTTAATGGGAAAGACATAGAGAACAAGCTGAGACGAGGAGCTTGAAAGGGAATGTGTTAAAGATGTAGAATCATCCCTGGGTGATGCCAACAGATCACTTCAGCTGTTAACTGAAAGGTGGGAGGTTCAAGTCTCCCAGAGGCACCTTGGAGGCAAGGCCTGGTGAACTCCTGCAGAATTAGACACTGAAACCCTATAGAGCACAGTTGTCCTGTGACACAAATGGTGTCCTCATGAGTCAGAATCAATTTAATGGGAACAGGAGATGGAAGACATAGCAGGGAGATAATGGCTGGATATAAGCCTAGAATTCAGGGAGAAGTCTAGATGGAAGAGACAAATGTGAGTAGTCAGCATATACATGGTTAAAGGCACAGCACTGAGAGAGTTCCTCAGGGCCACACTGTGGCTTTGGGGGCCCAAACTACTTTTGTCTTCATGAGCCCCTTGCTCTGTGAAAAATATTTTAAAGTGTATTTTATGACCTATTGACATCAAGACAGATATAATCTAAGCTGAATTATTATGCTCACTCTTTTTCTTCTGATTTTAAATGAAGATGTGTGAGCCCCTAAGTGTGCTGTGGGCCCTGGGTCAGCTGTGCATTGTGGCTCAGTCAGACCTGGGCTTATCAGAGGGTGAGAAAGATTCAAAGATTAAACATCAGGACATGCCAGCCTCTGGAGGTTTGGGAGATGACGAGGAAGCAGCAAAGCTGACAAAGAAAGAGTAGCCAATGAAATGGATGGAGAATGCAGGGGGAGCTGGGCGGCCCAGGAGCCCAAGGCAGAATGTGCCCCAAAGCGAGAGACAGTCACCTCAGCGGGGAGTGCTGAGACTTCTGGCCGCAGTCCATCCTCATCCCTCCAGCGTCTCCCAGAGGAAGGAGATGTGGCTTTCTATCTGCTCTCCCCTGCCCTCCTCCCCAACACCCCCACCCACCCCTGGGCTGCTTCTCTGTCCCAGGCAGGGGTAGTCATTCTGTTGGCCCCGCTCCACCTCTCCCCTATAGATCACATTTGAGATCTCAAAACAAGAAGACTCGCAGATTCCCCTCTGGATCATCCTGGCCAGCACACTGGGAGGCCTCCTGCTCCTGGCCCTGCTGGTCCTGGCACTGTGGAAGGTAAAGGGGGGTGGAGGAAGCATCCAGGCTTGTCGGCCCTGGCCTGGGACGCCAGCCTCTGTGGTCACTCCCAAATAGGTCTGCCCCTAGAAAATGGCCACGCCAGCCTTCCTCCCCAACCTCCCTGCCCCCAAGGCAGCCAGCCCCTCCCTCTAGTAGCATAAAGACTCAGGTCAGCAGGGCACACTCAGCTGATGGCACTAACCCTTCTGCAAGTCTCAGGCTCCTTGGAAAAATCTGATGAAAGCTGGAGTTCCTTTTACTAGACGCCAAGTAACTACACCAAATTCCTCCAACAATGTCAGAACATTAATGAGTCACCCCAAAGCCCTTCTCTGACTCTGGGTTTCAGATTAAGAGCCCCAGTCTCAACTGCCTCCTATTACAGGTGAGGTGAGGGTAGCCCAGTGTGTGACTGACACAGCATGGCAGTATGATGACCAAGAATGAATTCTTGTCCTGGTCAATCTTTCAGTCCCCAAGAGACTTCTGGGGTTTGGGATTAAGGGTGCTCATAGAGAGCTGGGGTGTTCAAGAAGTACTAAAATAGAGAAGGATTAGTGGAGGGACCAGAAGCTTTGTCCAGCTAAGACTGCTCCATTGGCCTCCCCACAGCTCGGCTTCTTCAAAAGTGCCAAGCGCAAGAGGGAGTCCACCCTGGACGCCACCCCTAAAGCGCAGGAGTGAGTTTCTAGAGGATGCAAGTTGATGGGAGCCAGGAAAATGTCCAGGTGATGTGCCTGCCAAGGCCTGTGCTCCAGGGAGCTGGGGCGGAGAGCGCGGATGTCAGCTGCCTGCTCACTTTGCACTTGACCTTCTCTTCTGAGAGAGCCTGCTCCCGCTGGAATGGAACTCAGGCCTGTTTAAAAGGGACCACCCTGCTGGGAAGCCAGCACACCTCCAACACAAATCCCTGGAGATCTAAGAGGACCCTGCCCTACACACCTCCCAAGGCTTCCCCAGCCTCTGTGGGAGGCATTTGCTGCCGCGTCCACTGTGGTGCTAGCAATTCTTAATCATCCCCACCCTCACACAGAAGCCCAGGGAGGAAGAAGACACATCCGCCCTGCACACTTCTGCCTCTTTATCCGAAGGACCCAGGACATCAGGCGCTAGACCAGCAACCTCCCGTCCCAGGGTCTGCGTCCCTCCTCCCCTGCTGCCCAAGCCTCCCGAGTCACACCCATCCCCTTCCCAGGCTCCTCAAGAATGAACCCGAGCCCAAGGGCTTTGTTGGTGACAGCTGCAGGCCAGGGATGAAGAATGGGATACAGAGACATTGACGGATGGGCAAGAGGTCTCGGGAGAACTGTGATCCGGAACAGGCGGGCTCTCCACTCACGTGATTCACACTGACCACCCCCTCTCCCCGAGCGCGCGCCCACCTCCCTGCCGCTTTGTTCCTCGGTACCTCGCGGGAAGCGCCTGGGTGACGCAATCCCCAGGCTCTGCGTTCCCGGCTGCCTCTGCAGTAGGGCTGCGGGTGCAGAGCGCCCCTTTGTGCAACCCCGGTGCACAATGCCTCCTCTCCCTCCATGCGCCCCAGCTGTACGTAGAGGCTCGGCTGGCGCTGATGAGGGTCCTCTCTGGGATGCACTGAATAAAGCCTGTGCAAGGACCCCCGCGCCCATGCAGCCTTGGTGGCTGGCAGTCATCCGCCAGGTGGCGGCGGGACAAGCGGTCGTGGCGCGCCGAGGACAAGGGCACGTCTGGTGCCCAGCAGAGTAATTTATGCCTTGACCTTGTTTGGGGATGGAAATGTAAGGGGGACACCTCAAGAGAATTGGTCCCCCTGCTGCACAGTACGACCTTTACAGTCGTAAATGTTTTTTTAAGAAATAAAAATTTTAAAGTACCAATTTTAAAAACATTCGAGGTGCTTACTCTTCTCATTCTGTGGACAGAGCATGTGCCGAAGGGCACACATATCTTTGAACAAGAGGTGTTCTGTAAGATCACAGTGAAAGGGCATGTCCTCCATTTACCCGCTAAGACACTCCCTCCCTTCCTCCCTCCTAAGCCACCTATTCCATCCAGGCCTGCCAGGATCAGAGCCCTGTAGCTTAAACCCTAGCTCCACTTCTTTCCTCTCAGGTCTCTCAGGCATCAGGCTGGAGATTTAACGATAACTCTTACACAATCTTGTGACCCTCAAGGAGATGGATTGACACAGTGACTGCAGCAATGGGCTTAAGTGTGTCAGAAATAATGAGGATGGCACAGGGGAGGTTTCAGGTCTGCTGTTCATGAGTTGCTGAATCATACAGCACCAAACAGTCACACACACACACACACACCTACCTCCCCCCCCCTAGTGCCCCCATAGTGGAGCTCTGTGACTAGGGAGTTGTGCTTCTAACCTAAAGGCTGTGCCTCTCTGGCAGTTCAAATCCACCAGCAGCTCCTGGGGAGAAAAAGCAATCTCCTCCTTTGAGATGTATAGCCTCCAAAAGCCAATGGAAGCTCTGCTATGAGTTGGTTCTGATTCAATGGCAATGGGAGAAGGAGACACACTTCTGTACAGATTAAGAACATTCAGAACCAGAGAAGCTAAGAGATAGCATTAAGTTCTACAGTAAAACCAACACTAAATCTTGGACTTTCACAAACTAGACTCTGCAAAAGGAGTCGAAAATCACCCTTGTTGGGGACTTTGGACATTAAGACAGATCAGACAGCGGATAAAGATATCATGCTTGATAAAGGAGAGAGGTCAGTGAAAAAGAACACTCTCAGTGAGATGGAATGATACCCCGGTACAGAAATGGGCTCAAACCCACCAACAGTGAGGGTGCTGCAGGACAGGGGAATGTTTTAAAATAAAATTTCTTGGTGAGTTCTGGTGGCCTATTGGCAAGAAGCTGCACTGCAATCCCAGAGCTGAGCGGTTCGAATCCGCCAGATGCTCTGCTGGAGAAAGAGGGACAATCTTCTCCTGTACCAGTTAGATCTGATTTGACAGTACGCACACAAAATCTCCTCCCATGTGATTTAGTCTCTGTTAAAGGCCAACAAGAACAACAACATATGCAGATGACAGTATACTTAGAAAATCCTAAAGATTCAGTGACAAAACCATTGGACATAGTCAACCAGTTCAGCAGAGTGGCAGGGTACAAAATCAACATACAAAATCAGCTGTATTTCTCACAGTGACAAAGAGAATATAGAAATGGAGTTTTAAAAAACCAATACCAAAAACAAGAAAAATTAAAAAAAAAGAAAAACAATACCCATCACAATAGCTAAACATGCTATCATTTAAACAGATTAAATACATGTGAATAAATCTAGAGACACAAAAGACCTATACACAAAAAAGATTACAAAACATTACTCCTAAGAAACAAAAAATATATGGAGAAATGGAAGAATTTACCATGTTCGTGGATGTTGCTGCTGCTGTTATTGGTTGCCTTCAAGTCGAGCACGACTCATAGCGATCCTATGAACAAAAGGCCTGAAGCACCTCTACAGCTATCAACATTTATGAAAGTTCATAGTTTCCAGAGGCATGTTGTTTACGAAGTGGATGCCACTCCTGTTTCCAAACTAAGTATGTTATTGTTAGGTGCCATTGAGTTGCCTGCAATGTATAGCAACCCTATATGCAGCAGCTCTGAACCCTTACCTGTCCTGAGCCAGTCTCACTAATTCTGACACACCAATCCCCACTGCCCCAGTTACTTTATCAATCCATCTCATCTGGGGTCTCCCTCTCTTGTGCTGTGCATCCACCATTCCAAGAATGATGTCCCTCTCCAAGGACCTCTCTCTCTCCTGGCCACATGCTCAAAGTGATTCAGAACTCCAAAATCCTAGCCTTCAAGAAGAGATTTGGTTTCAAGTCTCTCCAAGACAGGCCAATTTGTTTTCTTGTCAATTATGATATGTTCCAGACTCTTCTCCAGCACCACAACTCGAAGGCATCTATTCTTCTTCTGTCATCCTTAGTTATTGTCCAGCTCTGAAGCATAACAAGTAATTGAGACCATGGCCTGGATTAGGCACACCTTTGTATCTAGACTGACATCATTGCTCTTCAGCACTCTGGAGAGGTCCATGACATCAGATTTTCCCAATGCAATTTGTCTTTTGATTTCCTGACTGCTGGTGTTAAGAGTGTGGATCCAAGCAAGCTGGAATTGCTAACATCAATCTCTTCTCCACCAAATATGGTGCTGCCAATTGGCCCAGTCATAAGAATCTTTGTCTTCTTGATGTTGAGCTTCAATCCATATTGAAGACTACAGTCCTTTACCTTCTGCAGCAAGTGCTTCAGGTCCTGCTCAGTTTCAGCAAGCAGGGTTGTTTCATCTGCATAACGTAAGGTGTTAATGAGTTTTCCTCCAATCCTAATACCACACTCCTCCTCATAAAGCCCTGCTTCCCAAATGATCTATTCTGCATACAGATTGGAAAGGTACAGGGACAGGATGCATCCCTGACATACTCCTTTCCTGATTTTGAACCAAGCAGTGTTTCCTTTCTCTGTTCTGAGGACTGCTTCTTGGTCTAAGTATAGGTTTCATAGAAGCACAATCAGGTGCTTTGAGATTCCAATTTCCCTCAAGATTAGCCACAATTTATTGTGATCCACACAGTCAAATGCCTTTTCATAGTCAATGAAACACAGAGATTTCTCCTGGTACTCTCTGCTTTCTACCAAGACTCATCTGACATTGATAATAATGTCCCTAGTGCCACGACCACTTCTAAACCCAGCTTGTTTTGTAGTAGTTCTCTGTCAATGTACTGTTCAAATCTTTTCTGGATAATCTTTAGCAGGATTTTGCTAATGTATGATATTAGTGATATTCAATAATTTCCACACTCTGTCAGGTCACTTTTTTTTTTGAATGGGAATAAATATGGATCTCTTTCAGTCAGCTGGCAAAGTAGTTGTCCTCCAGATTTCTTGGCACAACTTGGTAAGCATATGCATGGCATCTGTTTGCTGAAATACGTCAGTTGGTATTCCATCAATTCCTAGGGCTGTATTTTTTTGCCAAGTTCTTCAGAGCAGCCTGCAATTTCTCCTTCATTACATCACCATTGCCTCTTGATCATATGTTGTTTCTTGAAATTCTCCTGTGTCAGCCAATTCTTTTTGGTACAATGATTCTGTATACTTCTTCTATCTTCTCTTAATGCTTCCTGAATCATTCAATATTCTTCCCATGGCATCCTTAAGCATTGCAACTCATGGCTTAAATTTATTCTTTAGTTCTTTCAGGTTAAGAAATGTTGAGTGAGTTTGGCCCTTTTGATTTTCTGACTCCAGCTCCTTGCACATTTCATTATATTTTGCCTTGTCTTTTTATTTTGCAACATCAAGACAGAGATCCGTTGACCCAGTGAGACAGACAGCAATGCTACCAAGCCAAAGGTGGGTGACTTTTAATCCACTGCCCTCCGGCCTTTCATGTTTTTGTTCAAACATTTCTCTAGGTTGTACAGCCCTGGTGTGTCCACTTGCCATTCAGTGGTCACTTGTGGTTGCTGTGAGGCTGAACACTGTGACACTGATGTGTCAAATGTGTTAATGGTTGGTTACCCAATGCAGATACTGTGGGCTGGAGCTCCCTGATTAAAACAATCTTGGAAGGAGGAGTGGCAGCCACTTCCGTAGTAGCTTGCCTCCAGAAACCCTATTAATCTAGAGAGAGGATGAAAGATACACAAGCGTTGAGGACTCTCCTTCACAGGGTCGCTATGAATCGCCTGCGACTCGACGGCACTTAACAACAATAACAACAACATAGATAGTTAGATTCAATATTGTGAAAATGACAGTTCTACCAAAGGCAACCTACCAGTTCAATGCAATCCCAATCCAGAGACCAATTCCATCCTTCAGTGAGATGGAAAAGAAAAATTCCAAATTTATCTGGAATGGAAAGAGAACCTGAATAAGCAAAACACTACTGGAAAAGAGAAACAAGGTAGGCGGCATCACATTCCTTGATCTCAAATCCTACTACACAGCCATGGTGGTCAAGACAGCATGGTACTGGTATAGCAACAGACACATACATAAATCAGTGGAATAGAACTGAGAGCCCAGAAATCAGCTCATCCACTTATGGTCATCTATCTTTGACAAGGAGATAGAATCCGTTAACTGGGGATAAGACAGTCTCTTTTTACAAATGGTGTTGGCAAAATTGGAAAACCATCTGCAGAAAGCTTAAGCAAGACCTCACACCTTATACAAAAACCAACTCAAGGTAAATCAGGGAGCTAGAAGTAAAATCAAAGACTATAAAATTCATCAGAGAAAAACTAAGAACAATTCAAGAAGCCCTAATCCACAGCATGAACAATCTTCCAAGAATAATAAAAAACCTACAACCAGGAGAGAATAAAATAAGTGAATGGGACATTCTAAGACTCAAATCCCAGTGCACATCAAAAACTTCTCCCAAAAGACAAAAAAACAAAAAATATCAAAAAAATAATCTTCTTGAACAGGGTGAGAAGGAAACCCAGACTGGGGGAAAATATTTGGCAATGACATACCTGATAAGGGATTTATATCTAAAATTTATAGAATACTTGAGTACCACAACAAGAAAAAGGTAAACAACCCAATCACAA